AACTCCTGAAATTGTTGTGTAGATCACATGGACATTAGATATAATCCAAAGGAGCCCTGGCAGCACTACATGAAACTGTGGAATCGTTTAGGTTGGAAAAGCCCTCTGAGACTATTTAATGCAACCATTCCCCCAGCACTGCCAATGTCACCACTAAAACATGTCCCCAAGTGTCACATCCAGACATCTTTTAAATCCCACCAGGAACGAGGACTCCACCTGCCAGGACTGGGCAACCCTTTGGGTCATCCTTTCATTTGTAAAGCTGAGGCTGGGGAATCTGGGAGAGGCTGAGTGACCATGTGCTGGGTCCCAGCCCAGTGTCCCAAGTTCAGGAAATTCCTCTGTGACAGATTCCAGGCGAAGAGAGGAAGATTCCCAGAAATCCCCAGCTGCCCTCAGAGTCCTTTACTGGAGGACACTGACAACCTCAGATCACACACCTTGCGACAGAGGGAGTTTTTTCCTTGTTGGAAAAGACTAGACTTTTTTTGCCTTTTTATTTTTAACTTTTCCTTTTTAAAATTGTCAGTGTTTCGTGGGTTTTGCCTGGTAATCTCATCCAAGGTCAAACCATCCTCCTGCATTACCACTTAGCCCTCCAGCACTTGTCTGCACACGCAACCCTGTTTGTCCTTTCCTTGTGTGAGAGCGTTTCACATGGATTTGGTCTTGGAAGTTCAGTGCTTGGAGTTTTCCAGCACATGAAAAACTACTTTGGCTTTGCCGTTTCACTTTCATATCTGTCTTATTTTTTTAACTCCTCTCCAGAATAGGTGGATTAATTCAACATCAGTGCAGAGAGAGAAACGCTTTTTTTTTTTCATCCCAGAAGGAAATCGGTGATGGAAGCTCCATCCTGACTCTGGGGACGGAGGATTTGGGTTGGGATCGGACCTTTTTCATCACATCCAACCTCGGCGCTGCAGCTCCCACCGGTGCCCGGTGTGAGATGCTCGGAGGCAGAGCAGGGGCATCGCCTCCGGGTCCAGCCCTTCCCTTCCCGGCGGCGGCGGGGCTGGCCGGGGCACTGACCCCAGCGCCGGGGAGTCTGGAGCGGAGCCGGCGGCCGCCGCTCCCCGCCGTCAGCCCACACCTCATCAATAGGGGCTGACAGCCCCGGCCCCGCCGCCTCGACGGCACCGCCGACGGCACGGCACGGCTTGGCACGGCCCGGAGTCAGCAGGCAGACCCCTAAGACGGGTTTGGAGGCAGCCCCATCCAGCCGGGATGTAGCGGGACCAATGGTTTTGGGACAGACGTAACTAAGTTGAGAGCTCTGTGGGTCAGGTTGCGAGTCGCAGGGATCCGGGCATCCCCACAGGCAGGCAGCCCCATAGGTCTGGGATCTAGAGAATGAACTTCCCAGTGACAGATTCCCAGACAGACTGGGGGGGGGGTCAAGCCAGCCATGGATTTGGGGGAGTACAGGTAGCACAGCTTGTCAGGGATGTAGGGGACCCCACAGGGACAGGTAAGGACATCTAGTGCATAGAGAGAGCAGATAAACATGTAGGTGAGACAGATATAGATATATGGATAGCAATCTATACATTTTAAAAAAATGTCTATTTTGGCAAGTAGACAGGCACAAATAGGTAAATAGACACAGTAATGCCTAGAAAGTTACAATAGATATATGGATATAGTGATATATGGCTGGACGGATACATGGAAAGATGATGGATAGGCGGATGTAGCTGAAAGACACATGGATATATGGATAGAAGATGGAGAGATGGGCAGTGATACTGACTGAGGTTCTGCACTGCCGGGGCTCCAGCCCGTGCATTCCCAGGCAGCTCAGCCTTTCGCCGGGCGCAGGAGGCTCTTCCAGCCTCTCGGAGAAGGGGAAGGGGCTTTCCATCACTTCTGCTGTTGCTACCAGACACGAGAGGCTCTGTCGGGGCCAGTCAGCACCCAGCAGCCAGGAGGGTGGTTTCACGGCAGGTGTGCTCCACACGTGCGGTTTTATTGTCACTGCGTCAAAGGGCCGTGACAACAATGACAATAAAACCACACGTGTGGAGGGTGGTGAGGGTGGGCGACAGGAACCCCAGCGGTGACGCACCGCTAATCATCCCCCACCACGGGGGATGCTCGCCCACTCCTCCCTGTGCTGGTGGCCCCGACCAATCCCCCCGTCCACGAGTGACGTGCTCGCAGGATCCCACTCAGACATTCACGCCACGACGGCGCAGCCCCTCTCCCCCGGGGGGAGCCCCCTCTGTGCTGGGCTTTCACGTCTCCCCACCAATTTAAAGGATCCCGGGTCAGGGAGTGCAGAGCCGCAGTATTTTAGGCTCAGTTTGCTTGATTTTGGAGGTAAAGCTGAGCAGGAACGCAGCACATCGACCCACGCTGTATTTTCAGTGTTCTCTGGGACACCTTTGTCCCCTGCAGCAGGGATCCTCCACGCACACAGTGGCACAGACACGGGTGGTATCACAATTCCTGTGGCCCCCGTTTCCCGAAGATCCAAGTCCGAGGTGGGTTTTGGTTCCTGCCTCTCCCCAAATTGCCCTGGCACTGACCCTCACAGCTCAGCCTCTCTCCTCTCCTGCTACATCAGAGCACGGATCGCTGCTCCAATACACATCTCCACATCCCACGGCTTTGTCCCTGAGGAAGCCGTTTGTATTTATTTCCATTGGAGGTAAAAAAGAAAAGGAAAAAAAAAAAAAAAAAAAAGAGGAAAAAGCAATAATATAATATTTGGGGGCATAGGGGGTGGTCAGAAAGGATTTGGAAATGCCCCTGAAGCATCGCTGAGCCGTGATGCTCCTTGGACACCCTTCTCCCACGGGTAGTACCCGGCCTTTGGGAGGTGGGGGATGTAGGTGGGGGGGGGTTGGTGGCATTTTAGGACCACTGCCGTCCTGTAAACAGATGTGACGTTTGTTTAGGGAAGTGTCTCTGAAGGTGTGACAAGAGACTTTCGCGAGCCGGGGTGGGGGGTGGCAGCCACAGCAGGGTCCCCTCCTCCCTACATAAGTCCTCGGTTGGAGGGGGGGGGTTGTCCCATTGTCCCACTGGTCCCCTCCAGCCGTGGGGGAGGTTGTCCACAGTCTCCCGTGGGGTTTCCTTGGGCTGGAATGTTTTTGTGGGCGGGGGTGCAGGAGATCCATGAGCAGGGATAAAGGGAATGCAAGGGGATCCCTGAGCAGGGGTGAAAAGGGTCCACGGGCAGGGGTGCAGGGCAGTGAAATGGGTTCCATGCAGGGAATTGCATTACGGTTGCCCCAAAAGGACATCCACGAGCAGGGGTGAAGGGGAATGCAGGGGTCCATGGGCAGGACGTTCCAGAGGGTCCATGAGCAGGAGTGCAGGGGGTTGAAAGTAGGTCCGTGGGCAGGAATTAAGGGGGTGCAAGTGGGTCCGTGGACAGGGGTGTAGGAAGGCGCAAGGGGGTCCCGGAGTGGGAACTCTAAGGCTCATCGGAGAGGAGGGTTCAGGATCTATCCCCCAGGAGGGCGGACGGGTCCATCCCTCCCCCAGCAGGGCTCCATCGGGGGGTGACGCTCGGGGGTCCCCCCTTTGCTGGATCAGGGGAGGGCTGGAGCAGGCAGGGACGGGGGCAGCGCCCCCCTGTCCCTCCCTAGACCCCAGTGACGGGTGGGAAGGAGGCGGGAGGAGGTGATGCCGTCCCGAGACGTCTCCGGGCTCGCAGGGAGCCTCATCCCCCACCCCCGGCCACCCCCCGCTCCCAGCCCGGCCCAGTCCTGCCGCGCTGCCCCAAAAAATCAAGGGTGCAGCCGCGCAGTCCCCCCTGCTTTGGGACCCCCTTTCCCCTGCCCAGTTGCACCGGCTGCTCTGATACAAGACGGAGCCGACTGCAGTTCCATATCCCTCGTACCTATAGATACCTATAGATAAATACCTATGGGTAGATACCTATAGATGATCTATACCGCCAGCGAGGGCACTGATATTTTGGAGATCGGTTTCTCCCCTTCCCGGCTACCCCGAGGTGGCCGGTTCCCTCCCGCAGCCCTTAACGCCCCCCCCAGCCCCCTCCTCCAGATCCCTTCCCGGTCGCAGCCAAGGCATGGAATAAATAAAATAATTAAAAACATAATAATAAAAATACTGGTGTGTGCTTGGCCCAGCAGCCGCCGGCAGCATTTATCTCATTTTCTCTGCTAGAATCACATTTCCCCACTGTTTTTTTCCTAATTTTTAACGGATTTTCTCCATGATTTTTTAAAAATTCGAGAAAATTTTAAGTCAACTTTCCTTCCATCTTCATACCTCCCCCTCCCACCCAGTTGCTAATGTGTTTTTTCTTTGCTTTTTTCTTTTCTTTATTTTATTTTATTTTATTCTATTCTGTTTTCTCTTTTCTTTTCATTTTCTTTTCTTTTCTTTTTCCTTTTTTTTTTCTTTTGCATCTGTCACCAACTGAAGCTTTAACTCTAAAACCGCCACGGAATTAACTTCGATATGGAAAAATAAAAAAGAAAAAAAACCCTTAAAACAAAAAATACGCATCGTATCGAGTTTTTCCCTGTCTGAGGAAGAAGGGGGGACTGGAAAGAAGAGGGGCAAGGTCGAGTTTTGTTCTTCTGGGTTATTTTCAGCCAGATTTCGTTAATCGCAAGTGAAAAAAAACCCTCCGAGTGCGGAGCAGAGCTTTTTTTCTTGTCGCTGCGTTCTGCTGTGTCCCATCTTCTGCTTTTATTCGGGAGAAAAAGTGTCCGAAATCCATCCTGTCCCTCCCGGTTGTTGGGTTACACCAAGCTGGGCTTGGCTCGGTTTCCCACCTCTTGGATTTTTGGGATGCGCATTCCCGCGGTTCGCTGCCCGAACCGATATTTCCCCGCGGAAAGAGGCTGGATCCGGCCATGGACACGCAAAACAATCCACGGGAATTGCTTTTGCATTTTCTTTTTCCTGGAAGTTGCAAAGCCGATGCAGGTCCTTGAAGTTCTCTCTGCTCCCCGCGTTGCTGCTAGGAGAATTTAATCAGTTTTAATTGTATTTTGGCTTTTTTTTTTTTGTAAGGAAAGCGCTTCTATCCTGAAGTAATTCATCGAATCTTCAGCAAATCGCTGATTTGGGAGAGAAAATCGTCAGGGATTTTGCAAAGGAGGGAAAGATGCGTCTCCAAAACCCGGCACATCTGGATAGGCAGCTGCTTCGGAGAAGGGATATAAAGCGAGACACTGATATATTTAATTTTCCTTTCTTTCTCTGCGTGCTCATAGCTCGATGTTCATAAGTGTTTTTTATATATACAAATATTTTATATATATTAATATCCTGTATATATATTTAGATATTATATATTAACTTTATATGCATTAATTAGTATAGTATATGTCTATTTATAGATATTTAATAGTTTACATATATTATATAGATCTAAAATTTATACCATAGCGTGTTATAAATTATAAATCATTTAGCTATGAAAGTATATACATGTTTATATGTAAAACACATTCCTTTGAATTATAATATACATTAAGTCCCATCTGTACTCAATTTTTTATCGATATGTATATAATAACACATTTATTAAACACATATTTTGTATTTACATATATTTATATTTATATTAAATACTCTTTAAATATACAGTTTTCCCAGTGTGCTTGAAGTATAAATATCCACAGTAACACCGTTGCTGACAGTTATTTGTTATGTATTTCTGTGCTTATAATTTTGTTTCTATACATGTCTATAACTATTTTCATCCCGACATTTGCGTTTCAACAGGATTTCTCTCCTGCCGCGTTTTTAGCCTCTGCCAATGCACACCCGTATCCCCCTTTTGGGGTTTTGGGGAGTCCTTGTGCTCCCTCGGGATTTTCTGAAGTAATAAGGAGACTGGGGTGGCTCCGGGCAGAGGATATGGGGACCTCACGTCCCCAGGGACCCATTTTCGACCCTGGAGTACCCCCCAAGTGCTCCCTTCGCCTTCCATCCCTCTTCCATAAATCGTTTTCCCCACCCCCTCTTTTTTCCCTCCTCCTCCCTTTGCCTCTTTCATACGGAAATTTTAAATTTTAATTTACTTTTTTCTTTCCAAGCCCTAAGAGACGCTTCCAGCCGCCTCCCGCCCTCCCACGCAGGACCTCCAGATTTCCACGGGAAATCCCGGCGTGTAGGAAATTTTTAGGGTGTGAGGCTTATTCCGGGGAACGAGGCAGTGGGAAGCTCCCCCCAACAACTCTCAGAGGCTGGAGTCACACCAGCGTGAAAAGAGCCCCCGGGAAAGGGGGGACAGTGGAAAGGGGACTGAGCCCCCCCGCAGGCTCCGTGCCCGTGGGATCCCAAATTGCAGAGCCCCCCCCTGCACTGCACCATTCACCTTTAGAGCCTCTGCAGCACATGGGGTGCCAAGAGATGGGTGCCCAGTTTGAGGAGGGCACCCCCAAACAGGCTGGGATGACGGGCAGAGCAGTTGCCACCTCTCCACTCCGTGATTTGGGACCGAGGTTTGAGGCAGGAGCTTGGAGAAATGCCCCGTGCGCGATATCCCCAAGGAAAGGGGTTGTCTCCAAAGGGATTGGGGAGCTGGAGGTGGGGGGAAGGGGGTGTCCGTACCCCTCAGGAAACACCTCCGATTATTTCTGGGGGCTGGGCAAGGGTGTCCCTTGGGTGCACGGGGGACACGACGCCGCCCGGTTGGACTTTGCCTGCAGCGTGGGCCGCCCGTGGGGCCGTCCCGTGGCGCTGCTTTGATTTTATTATTTTATTCCTTTTTTTTTTTTTTCCTTCCTTCCCAGCAATGAAACCTGGCGCCCGGCTGATGGTGCAACAGATACCAACCACCCTCCTCACCCCCCCTTTTCCTCCCATCGCCGCCCACTTCCACGTGACGTGGGCAAACCAGTCAGAGAGTGGGACTGGGGAGCCTGGCCATACTGGGGAGCCAAGGAGGGGGGAGACAGAGCCCCGCTGCCCCTAAGCCCCCCAAGAAGCAGGAGCCAGGCATGTCTTAGCCCCGTGCCTTTCCCGCAGCGAGGGAGTGTCCTGCCCCACGGCCTCGCCCCCCTCCGCCCCCTGCCCCCCCAGCACTGAAGGTGGGTAGCTCTTCCCTGTCCCCTCGCTCCTCTTCCTCGCTGTCACGCCGGGACTCCAACGAGCCCCTTCCTACAGGCCTCCCCGAAAGCTTCCTCCTATTGTCTCCTCGGGCTTAAAAATGAACTCGATTTTGGTGGGGTTTTGGTTGATTTTTTTATTATCACCATTCCTGTTTGTAAAGCAGGAGAGGAGCTCGCTCCTTTTTCCCCTCCTGTGGAGATTCCCGTAGAAACGCTCCGTTCTAGGCCGGTTACACACCAACCACCCCCTGAGTTTCAGGGGGACACAGAGCTCCCTTAAACTCCCTTCTTCCCGGCTCGCTTCCATCCTTACCCCTTCCCAACGCTGCCTCCGGCTTCTCTCCCTTTCCTCGGCCGCCTGCCCGTCTCCCGCTGTCCTCCCGGGGTATCAGTCCTTATCTCCTGGTTATCTCTTCTGCTGCTAAATTCGGCCCAGCGCAGGGGTTCAGCCGGGGGAATCTGTTAGTTAAACCTAAAGCAGTCCCAGGAGTTATTTCTCCGGCCATAGTTCCCCCCCCATCCAGGCCTTCTCCCGGTGTTAAACGGTTTTCAGAGAATCCTAGAACTCCAGAATAGTTTGGGTTGGAAGAGACCTTAAAGATCATCTACTTCCACCCCCCCACCATGTGTAGAGGCATCTTCTGCTAGACCAGGTGGCTCCAAACCCCATCCAACAGGATCCCTCCACGATCTACGGAGAAAACAGCACGTCAAATTTTCTTACCCCCTTCCCAGACTCTCCTTGGGAAGAGGGTTTCCTCCTGACTCCCTTCCATACGTGTTTTTTGGGGTCTTGCCATTGTGAGCCACCCGCAAGGCCCCGATGGCATCCCACGGCCCAAACCCACCCCAAATTCCCCTAAAGGAGCCCAAATCAGAAACCAACCCAATACGAGACAAAGCATCCCTCACCCTCCCCCTGCCCCATGGCTCCAGGAGGCGCCTCCCTATCCATACCCATGGCATTCCCAGTCCCCAGTGGGTCACCTTCCTATGCTCACAGCTTCTCCCAGCTCCCCATACGGAAAAAATGGGAGTGAGAGACAAAAAAACACCCGGAAGGGGGAGTTTTGACGGTGCTGCTTGGGGTCTGCTCCCCATTTTGGGCAGCACTGATGGGGGTGCAGTGGGTAACACCCCCCCCCTCCTTTAAGCCCCCCTCCTTCAAGCATGGTCGGGTTTTGGGGGGTGCGCACACGCGTGGGGCAGGCGCGGGGTGGGAGGGTCGAGCCAGCCTTCCTCCTCCTCCTCCCCCTTCTTTTTCCCCCCTTTTCCCTGATTTAACTCCCCCCCCAGCCCTCCTCAGCCGCCTCCCGCCGCCCACATCAAACGCCGGCCCCGGGGGCCATTAACAACTTAAAGCACCGATCGTACCTGCGGGACAAAGGTTTTTGCTCCAGGCCACGGGAGAGAGCATCGCTGTCTCTCACCTTCCCGGCTGTGAACCCCCTCCTTTCACCTCCCCCCTCTTCTCTAACCTCCTTATCTCCCCGCCCCGGGGGGGTCTCGGCCCGGCCGCCGCCGTGTCCCGCATCCCGCATCCCAGCAGCATCTCCCTGTGCTCCCCCGGGGGGTGTTGGACGGGGCGGGGGGGGGAGGAGACTGACCGAGGGTTTTAAACAGCCCAGCCCCATGGTGGAGGGCGGGGGGGGGGGGCGGGAGGTGATGGATGGAGACCGGTGGGAGCAGCTAAATCCAGGCGGGAGCTAAATCTCCCCTCCGGAGGGACCTGGACTTGTTGCTTGGGGTCTGGAAGACGCGGCGGGGACCTGCTGAAGGTGGGGAAGGTGGGCAGTGGGGAAAGGGGGGTGGTGGAGGAAAATCGCATCGCTGGTGGTGTTTTGGTTTTGGCTGGAAGGCTGTGCCCACGCGAGACCTCTCCGGCCGCTGCTCACCTCGGGGGAAAGTGGAGCCGGGGGTTTTCCGCCCGCTCCCCATCGCTCTGGATCGCGGCCGGGGACCCGGCTGGGGTTTGGGGAGGCCCGTCGCGAGATGTACCAGAGTTTAGCCATGGCAGCGAACCCCGGCCCTCCGGCGTACGAGGGGGCAGGTGGCTTCATGCACAGCGCGGCCGCAGCGTCCCCGGTCTATGTGCCCACCACGAGAGTCACCTCCATGCTCCCCAGCCTGCCCTACCTCCAGAGCAGCGGCTCTTCCCAGCAAGGCAGCCCCGTCTCCAGCCACTCCATCTGGACTCAACCCGGAGCCGAAAGCGCCGCTTACAATCCCGGATCTTCTCACCCTCCCGTGTCACCTCGGTTCTCCTTCTCCACCAGCACCCCCATCCCTGCCACCTCTTCCCGGGAAGCGGCGGCGGCTTACAGCGGCTCCTTGAACCTTTCTGCTAACGGGAGGGAGCAGTACAGCAGGGGCTTCGGCAGCTCCTACTCCAGCCCCTACCCGGCCTATATGAGCCCCGAAATGGCCACGACCTGGACTTCCTCGCCCTTCGACAGCCCGATGCTGCACAACCTGCAGAGCCGAGGGACGCCCGCGGCCGCCCGGCACGCCAACATCGGTGAGCACAGCCGGGATTGGCACAGGGGAGGGAGGCTTTCACCCCGTCACTCCCCTAGATTTTGGTGTACGTACCCCTCTGCGTGTAGATTCAGGATGCGCGGAGGGCAGGAGGGAGAAATTCGGGGTATTCGGGATGTCGCTGTCGGAGCCGCTTCTCCGGCTTCAACCCCGCTGTGCTGTGGTTGCCCCCCCTGCACACGTATTTACTCTGAAAAACCATTTCCAAATATCCTCAAAGATTACAGCTGCCAAAAAAAATTTGATAACATTTAAATAAAATTTCGGGTAGGCCCGAGGCAGCAAGGAATGATGTGACGGGCTCCGGCGCCAAGGCCCTGCTGGCTCCACAAATAGCTCCGAGGGGATTTGGGGGTTGCGATGGGGATGGTCGTGGTCTCCAGGACCACGATGTTCCATGGGCACGCAGGCAGCCCCTCCCTGAGCTGGATTTAGGTGTAAAACCGGGAAAATTTGTTGGGAAAATCAAGAAATCAAAGTTCGGTCCGCGAATCCCAGATCTTTCCTTTGGGTTGTTTTACATTCCTGCCTTTTTAAAATTATTTTTGGGGAGTTTGGTTAGGCTGGAAAAAGGGAGATTGAAGGGAAATTTAGAGCTGAGGTGAGAGAGACGATGGAGAAGGAAAAAAAAATGCATCCACATTTATTATCCTGCTTTTTGGGGAACTCAGGCACATCGGAACAACCCAACCCTGTATTTCAGCGCCTCTTTGGTCCTAAAAATCTCAGCCCTGATCTCCTGTGCTGCTCCCAGTCTTGGAACTTTTCATTTCATTATGCTTCTGGTTCCTACGACCAAAAATTGGTCCAAATGGCTTAAAATATTGTTTTTGTTTTTTTCCTGGGGTGGAAGAGGGATAAAAGCACAGAGAAATGCGGGGCACAAATTCGCATTGCAGCTTCATAAACCCTTTTTTTCCTTCCCGCCTTCTCTCAGTGAAGGTATTTCTGTCGGTTTCGGGGTGGGGGTTAACAAAGAAAATGCCTCAAATTTGTCTGCAGATATTTTTTAAGATTGTGTTCTTAAGCCTGAATTTTGGAGTGTGAGTTTTTCATCGTGTCCAGCAAGATTTGCGTTATGTTTAGCATTATTTTAAGATGCTAAAAGACGGAAAGTTGGGCGCCGGTGAAGGCTTGGCCTTGCCAATGTCTTTTGATTTTCTTTGGGTGCTAAGAAATTGGTTAAGATGGGGAACAGATTATGGATAAAATTTTAGCCAGCCAGGCAATGTTTTCGGGAAGCCATGAGAAGGTGGAAAGTAGAGGAAAAAAGCAGGATGAATTAAATAATCAAATATTAACTGAATATCAATGAAGACATATGAATATTTGTATTTGACTATGGTGCCATCTGTTCCTTGGAGAAAAAACAAATCCGTTTTTTTGCGGTGTTATCAGAAGACTCCTAATAAAAAATAAACTAAACCCGAAATAATATTAACGAAGAATTGCAGCTGAAAAATACCCGGCAACTTTTAAAGTGCCAGAGACTGGGCATGGGGCTTTGGAGGTTTCGAGCCCTGTGGTTTGCGTTGCAGGTCTGCATGTTGGTGGCAAAAAGTGCGTTTTATCCGGGCTTTTAAGTAGTACTGGGAAGGGGGGATGAGTTAAACCAGTCCAGAAAAGGGTTGTTGATGAAGGAGAAAGGCGACGGGACTCCCCTTCATGGCCAGGTCCTGATTCGGGTCCGGATTCACGGGATCGCCGAGGGCAGCGCGGCAGAATCCACGGGATTTATTAGCACGGGTCTGATTACGTCTCTACCTTGAATATGGAAAAGCCCTTGGATTTTAAATCAAAAGTGCTTGGGTTTTGATTAAAAAAAAATAGAAACTTCCTGAGCGCTGGAAAGTTTTAAATCCAGGATTAAGAGGGATTTTTGGAAGGCAGCTCCTTGGGGAAGCAGGACCTGCCCCGTTCCCCCTTCTCCCCCGAGTCGGGACGCGATCGCTGCCGGGTCCCTCCTCGACGGCGGGGCGATGCTTCGAGCAGGCTGTGGGTATCGAGGGGGTTGTGTGAAGCGTGTAAAGGCTGGCTGGGGGTTCTGAGCTTGGAGAAGTGTTTTATTTTAATGATTTTAAGAGTAAAAACCCTGAAGGCACTGAAAGATGTGTGTGTGTGGGGAAACACCGTTGTGGATTGCACCCATCACAGACCCACTTTAACACCACATCCGAGCCTGGCTCAGCACCTGAGCAGTCCCTGCATGTGGAATCGACTCCTTCTTTGCCTTTCCTTAGGACTAAAGATATTTTTATTCTCTGCACAATGAGGAATCTCAAGGTGGAAACGGAATCCTTCGCTCAAGGCTCTATTAAATCAAGCGATATTTGCAGTGATCTCGTTTTCTTTTCCCAAAGAACCACCACTTTTGGATAGTGCTAAATGCAGGGCATCCGCAGGGCCACTGAAATTTGAATTATTATAATTTTTTAATAATAAAGATCAAACTTGAGCATGCATAGCTGATTATGCAGACATGGATTCACAGTCTATGCAATTGGGCATTACATTTTTTCCCCTTTTTTATGTATATATATATCCCAGTAACAATAAAGAAACATGCAAGGGAAAGAAGTTTAGTGAAAATGTATTCGGAGAAAATAACACTAAAAGAAATAGAAATCTTTTTTTTTTTCTCTTAAATAGAGGAATTTGGCTTGGGTTGAAACGTCATAAAGCACTGGGAAGGTTGGGTGGGTAAACTCAAGGGCCCATTTGAAAAACTTCCCCTTGGTGTGAGTTCAAAACGCCAAATTTGGGCTTTTCAGGGTAAGTTTGGTGACTGATTTCATTACCCTGAAGAGCAGGATCAGACCATGCGGTCGAGGCAGTGAACTTGCTCCAGGCATTGCCTGGGATGGAGTTACAGTGAATTCCCGACTTAATGAGGCATGAAAAGGACCAGCTGCAAAGTCCCCTCTCAAAAGACTTCCCTGCCAGCACCAAAAACCTCTCGAAATCTCTCCCAAAAAAAGCCTGGATGGGCAGTTTGCCTCTTCTCCCTTCTCCAGGCAGAGGGGAGCAGGGATGGAGGGCGGCACGGGCGCCTGAGCGCATCCAGCTCACAGCGATTTGCTGCCTCCTGGATGTTTCCAGGCTGGGAATAGAGGGTCAGATTCCAGTTTGCCATCCCCACTCCCTTTAATTTTGCTTACAGCGGGGATTTTACTTTTGCTGTGGGCTCAGGAGGTTGGGAATAAATCGGGGCGGGTGGCTGTGGGCATTCGTGGTGGGTGCTTTTAGGGCTTTTTTTGGCTAAGTCGAAGTCAGGGCTCCTCAAACAGGCACCGCTGGAACACAGTAACAGCATCTGGGAAGATCAAAGCCTGCAGCAGACGCTGGGCTGGAAAATGCTTGTGGTGGGGGAGATATTGGGAAACAGATCTTAAGCTTTGCCATAGGGATGCTAAGAGATTTGTCCTGTCGCATCCCGGGGCCGGCATTCCCAGTGATTCACTGGCATTTGTTAC